CTTGGGTCAGCCCCAGGTTTACCTGGATACTTCCTCTAATTACACTGCACCGCAGTCTCTGGCAGTTTAAGTTAGAGAGAGGAGCGGTGGGGCAGTTTAATGAGAGGAAGTAAACCGCCTTTCAAAGTACTTCTCCCCTTATGTGTTTTGGACAAGTTAACAGGAGAGATCCGTCCCTGGAGAAGGACTGATCATGTTTATCATGCTTGGTACGCTAGAGGGGCAGCGGAACAGCGGAAGACCCTGGATGAGATGGACTGACCCAGCGGCTGCAACACTGGGCTCAAACACAACAATCGTGAGGGTGGCGCAGCACCGGGCAGTGTTTCGCTCGGTTGTGCATAAGGTTGTGGAGTCAGAACCAACTGCACAACCCCTGACAAGAGTCTAACCCAGGAGGAAGCTGAAGCTGTCTGCTCCCAAAAAGACTCACATCCTCTAGTAGGGTTGTTGTGAGTCAGAATCAAGGCGATGGCAGGGGACTCATAGTCTCTAACCAGCATTTAGAAATTGAATGAGCTGAAGTGACTCCTAGTCCACTGTCCCTCCGCTTCTCTGTCCCCTGTGGGAAAAGCTCCTGAAGACATCACCACTTCATGTTCACAGTCACCCGAGGGTCAGGTCCCAGGGAAGCTCCCCATTCATGTTCACAGTCACCCGAGGGTCAGGTCCCAGGGAAGCTCCCCACCGCTGGCTCTGGCAGCCAATAAGCCGCTCATTGAGGTTGTTTCCAAAACAGCAGCCTTCAAAACATATCTGAAAACCCATACAAGCTTGCCTTGCATGGCTTTTTTGGTTGTCGATCGTGGGACACAGGACTGTGGAAAACCAAAAATCAAGGCACTAGAAGAAGGAAGATAGAGGCGAGAAGGAAAAAATAATTGAGTTTGCATGTATTTCCGCTCTAAATTTGATGTGCCCCTATGAATGCATAATTCAGATGTCCCAAATGTTCTTTGTCCTAATGTCAAATCACTCATGTTTATTAATATAACAAATTCATCAAATCAGGGGTGGGGCTAGAGTGGGATTTGCCCTTCAAGGACTGCCCACCCCTTGTCACTGAAGTTTTAATAGGAAATTCCTTTGAGGTGCCAGTCGGTCTGCATCTGGCCGGCTCTGCATTCATGCCACTGCAGCACGGTGCTGGCTAGCTCCCTGATGGCCTTGACTTCTTACTGAGTAGCAGGAACCCTGACAGCCATCTGGTGTTATGGACGAGAAGCAATACGCAGACCTTGTGTTCAGAAGCAGGTTCCTTCCACCTGGAATGATAGGGAAGCATTGACACAGTTTAACCCAAATCTAACCTTTATGATGGCTGAAATGTTAATTACTTACAAAGAAAAAATCAGCACAGACGCAGCAAATCTCTTCCTTCGGGTTTAGAAAGCACATCTCAGAGGCCTTTGGTTTCCGATCCTTGGCAGTGTGGACGGTGATTTTAGGTGGCTGTGACAACTGTTTAAAAATCGTACTGGGAATGCTTCCATTGCAATACATAACACACGCGTTTGTCTAGCAAAATAACAGAACCAAAGTTTCATTTTCAATCGTAAATAAAAAGTGAGTCAATTTAAACCAAGTAAATAATCGTATAGATCATATGCAGTTATGATTTAAAAATAAAATTGTGAACATGGTGTTTAAATGCATAAAGTTTCCAGAGCATACGCGTGTAGAAATACAGAGATGATGAAAATTGCAGAGACATGCACAAGGCAAAGGTTTTGGAGCTACTGAAGGCTGGAAGTCAGCAGTCTTTACATTATGAGTATTAGAAGCTTGCATTATTTTTTCGTGGAATCTGCACGTATCTACTCCGGTTCTCAACTTACTGTCCACCGGGCACCCCACCTTCTCAAGGAAACAGGCCATTTCAGGGCCTTCGCGGTCGCTGCACACTGACTGGATGAGCACGTCATAAAGCACCTTAGAGAAAAACAAGCCAATGGGAAGTAGTATAATAAGAACATCCCTCTACCTCCACTCTTAATCATTAAAAAATTTTTAAATATATTTTGTTGTTGAGAACACACACATCAAATCGCCCATCAAGGCAACCCTTTCCAGTTACCGTTCAGTGAGGTTGATGACACTCCTAAATCCTGTCGCCATCACTCCTCCTCTTCTGAGACATTCCTGCAGTGTCCAGAAGTCTTCCCCCTAACCTTCCTACCTGTCCTTTCAGGTGTGTGTTAGCCATTTGATCCCATATAGATAACTACCCAGCTTCAAAAAGCCTAATGTTCGAGGCAGGAATTTTTCACAAGTTATTCTAAGGTGTGGTTTATTTAAAAAAAAAACAACTTCAGGGGGTGTTTGGGTTCACTCGCATTTCCAGAGGAGCAAAGACCTAAGTCGGTCCTTTCAGCGACTAGTCATCTTAGCGCCCCCCACGGATGGCCACTGGCCAGCTTACCCAGAATGCCTGAGAAACGTGGGCTCACCAATCAGCTTTGATCTAAAGCAGCGGTTCTCAACCTGTGGGTAGTGACCCCTTTGGGGGTTGAACAACCCTTTCACAGGGGTCGCCCGATTCATAACAGTAGCAAAATGACAGTTATGAAGTAGCAATGAAAATAGTTTTGTGGTGGGGGGTCACCACAACATGAGGAACTGTATGAAAGGGTTGCGGCATTAGGAAGGTTGAAAACCACTGGTCTAAAGGATCGTGTGTAGAGACCTTTTTTTGGGGGGGCGGGGCGCGGGTAGGAGGGAGTTGTGCTTTTGGGACTGTTTCTGTATTAGCTCTGAGCAATAATATCCCCCTTTCTCTGTCATTCATCCGTAGACTGTTGGGCGGGAACTGCTGCTCCATTTGATCGAACATCTGGTAACCCACGATGGGAGGGACCCTGAAATCACAAATCTGATCAACACTACCCGGATACACATTATGCCCTCAATGAACCCCGATGGATTCGAAGCTGTCCAGAAGCCTGACTGTTACTACAGTGAGGGAAGGTGAGGATGGGCTGGTCTGTCTGTCTGTCTGTCTGTCTGTCTGTCTGTCTGTCTGCATTTAAAAACAAAACCCAAATCAGCCAAAGGCCCCATAGACCTACCGCTGTTGGCACCCCCAGGAGGAGCCAAAGAGCAGGGAAAGGTCTCACACCTGTGGCATGTCATTCCTCGCGGGAAACTCATGCCCACTGCCTTTCAGATCAAATGTGGATTTCTGAACTGACGTCCAGCTGCAGTCTCCATTCCGCCCCTCACGCCCCCGCTCCTGCCCTGTGGTCCCCGGGTGGACCAGGGCTTCCCTTACCCTCCTTACTCTCCCCCTCCTTACCTTCTCCCACTGCTTCCATCGTCTTTCGGCTGAGCCCCCTGACCTGCGTCCTCTCCCAGCTTTCCTGTGACACCCTCACCTCACCGGCAACCTCACTTTCACCGCCCAAGTGTTCACATCTGCTTTTGTTTCTTCGTTGTCTTTCTCGCCTCAAACTCTCAGCTCTCTGAGGATAAGAACTCCATCCATGTGTCTCTTAGCGCCAAGCCCTCAAATCCCGTTGGCTTAATAAGCCAATAATTCAAGAACTAACCACAAAGGAGAGTGGATCTTTGAGTAATTCTGACTTAAGTGCAGCTCCTTTTCTATCAGGCCACTTAGGGAGGTTGGGAATTTCTCAGATCTCTAGCATACGTTTATGTTTATGCAACTTAAAACTTGGTTGGCGTTGCTGAAAATAAACAAACTGCATTTCACCACCACTTGTTTCCCCTCACGGTGTTTTTCCGGCGTTTGCACACATGGCCCCTCGGCGTGTGTGGAGCACATCGGTCTAGAGCTGCACCTTCCTGTTCCTTCAGCCACGTGTTGCTGGGCAACCACACCCCTCAAATGAAGTGACTTCACACGTTTTTATGAGTTGTTGAACGGAAAACCAAAATGCGTGGTAAACTTCCACCCAATTCACAATTTAAAAACTGCAACAGCACCATTCCTTTCATTACTCTCAATCTTCTAAGTTCTGGGGTGGCTAATGTCTACCACAGTGCCCTGGGCCTCAGCTAGGGTCAGTCTGGGATGACTGGCCTTGGGACCGTAGCCTTGACTCTAGTCCTGGCCATCGAGTGTTGTCGCCATGCAGTGTATCAGGGTTCCAAGAAGAATAGGCCCCAAACTCAAGTACTAATAAACTCCAGCATGCTTCACTTGCTCATGCCCCATTGATCACAACAAACCAGAGGTCAGCCCAGTGTGGGAGGCCTAGATGGGTGGGAATGCCAAGAGGGGATCCCCAAGGGAACTGCCCATCACACCTGTATTCCCATTTACTAGAACATCTTGAGCCCAAACCATCTGTACATTGCACAAATTAACTCCCTCACATATCATTAATAATCCCTCACTTTTTTTCTTTCAAAGGGAAAATTATAACCACTATGACCTGAACAGGAATTTCCCAGATGCGTTTGAATTCAATAATGTATCAAGACAGCCGGAAACGGAGGCAGTCATGAAGTGGCTAAAAACGGAGACGTTTGTCCTCTCTGCAAACCTCCACGGCGGTGCCCTGGTGGCCAGTTATCCGTTCGATAATGGTGTTCCAGGTACGCAGAACGCCTAGCCTGGCTCTGGCTCTCGGGTGGCGTGGAGCTGCAAAATTTCTGCCTCTGGATGGGGATGAACTCATCACTGTCTACCCCCTGACGAGGAGCCCTGGTGGTGTCCTGGGTACCAGTTGGGCTGCGATCCACACCAGCAGTCACGCTAGATAAAGACTGGACTTTCTACTCCCGCAAGCAGTTCTAGTCTCAGAAACCCACAGGGGTCACGATGAGTCAGCAGTTGACTCGATGGCAGTGAGTGTATATTTGGGGGCTTCGTCCACACCCTGAGCCATTCTCCCCAGCACATACGAACAGGAGATCGCAGGGCCGAGTGGGGGGGACCTGTGGCTGGCTCACAGCCAACAATAGGATTACTTGACAGTCATCAGGAAAATGTTAAAATCAGGATTTGGATTACCTCAAAAGAGGTAAACTGGCTTGAATAAAACTAAAATGGTATACTTTTCTTGGCTGATCAACTGAGCAATAATGGCTGGCTCCTGTGTACAGAAACTGTGGGGGTGAAGGAAACTTAAATGAAGGTCGTTCAGTAAAAGAAATCTGTCTACCAAGGCTACGTCTGATGAGTCTAACTATATGACATTCTATAGGCCAAGCTATGGATGCAGTGAAAAGAATCATGGTTGCCAGGAGATGGGGAGAGGGAGGAACAGAGGAGGCGTAGGGGACATTTAGGGCAGTGAAATTGCACTGTGTAATACTGTAACGGTGGCCACATAACACGCATTGGTCAATTTTCATAGAGCTGCCCACCACCAAGAGCAAACCCCAAGGTGAAGTATGGATCATAAAGCCAAACCAAACTCACTGCCATCCAGTCACTGCTGGCTCAGAGCAACCCTATTGGACAGGGTAGAACTGCCCCTGTGAGTCTCTGAGACTGAAGTAGAAAGCCCCATCTTTCTCCTTAGAGCTGTGGGGGGTTTCACAGCCCAACTGGGAATCACTATGCCACCAGGGCTCCTCTAGCCTCTGGATTATAGTTAAGAATACTGTTTTAATATTGGCTCATTGGTTGAAATATTAGTAATGCAGGAAACAGAGTAGGGGGTGCACATGAACTTTCTACTCAATTTTCTGTAACACTCAACACTACAATAAAAAGTTGTTACTTAAAAAAGAAAAAAAATTTGCCAGAAGAGGCATGAACTACAGAGCTAAACTATTATAATGGCTTCCTTTAAACCCTACAGAATTGGCTCAGTGACTGGGTTTTTGATTACCCAAGTAACGTTTATTGATCTCCAGGAGTTACCAAGTGTGACTAAGGAGGAGAAGCTGATGTAGGAGGAGTTTGAATACAACTATGGCTGGTTTCTTTGGAAATTGCCTTGTGTGTAATCACTAAATCTAGAGAAGTAAAGGGAGCCTTCCGGGAAGTGGGTAGTGGGCTTTTCTGTAGGGAAATTAGAGCGTTTATCTGTGTTGTGATTGTGGTACTTGCTAGTATTATAGTATGTTTCCTCTAAAGTTGATGGAAAGACCTTGAATTCTCTTTTAAATCCAGCAACTGGGACATTACACTCCCGTAGCTTAACCCCCGATGATGATGTTTTTCAATATCTGGCACATACCTATGCTTCAAGAAATCCCAACATGAAGAAAGGCGATCAATGTAAAAACAACATGAAATTTCCCAATGGAGTTACAAATGGGTACTCTTGGTACCCGCTCTTAGGTGAGTTTCTCTTCCTTTCTCCCATTCTCCTTTTTGCCTTCATCCAAAGAGGCCAGCTGGTTTGTGTTGACCTTCGTCAGCGTTGCAAGATCTTCAGGCCCAGGCCCTTCAATCATGGTTCCACCAGCTAATATCACAAGGCCCCTGGAGGAGACTGATCATTTGAGAGAGGCTCAGACATGTGCCTTCCTGCTCCTTCATTTAGTCAAAGTCTTCCTCAGCACCAAGAACTACGCCAGAGATGAACAGGGCACAGTTTCAGACTACAGTTTCATATGTAATAGAGGAGACAGAGAGGCTAACAAATAATTGTGGTAGCAGTTGTTGTTCTTGTGAGCTGCCATTTCTATTACCCCTAGAAGCATTTTGGTATGATGACTAGGAATGGGGTGGAGAAGGAGACCCTGGGTGTTCAAACAGCTGCTAGCCAGAAGGTTGGGGGATTCATGTCTGCCCTCAGGCATCTCCAAAGAAAGGCCTGGGGCTCTGGGAAAGCAGCCGTTGAAAACACTGAAGCGCAGTGCTGCTCTGACGCACTGACGCACACGTGGTCACTGGGAGTCAGAGGTGAACCTCCTGGCAACTGAGCTGTCTGTTTGGGGTGACAGCGAGACGGCCTATGCCCCGCCCTTGCTGTTTCTTAGCTAGAATCAATCCCTGCATGTTGCTTAAAGTCCATGAATGAGTTTTCTCATCGCTAAACCAAAGATTATAATTGGGCAAGGATTAAAATTCATCCAAAAGACTTCAAACATTACCGAATGAGTCCTCTCCTCCCCCCAAGATGAGTGTACCCACCTTTGCCTGACTCTACTTATACATGGGTTGTACCAATATTTCAAAAGAAATAGTATTCTAGTCTATATATGTTTATCTGCTTAAAATGTGACTTAGGGAAGAGAGATAATTTGAAGAATCCTTTTCCTAGTATAAAAGGGGGGACCCCTTGCTTAATTTTGATGCACAGTTGAACTTGAATCAACTTTGGTCCAGTTACTCATATGGGAGTAGTTAAAATTGCCTGGTCATGCCACAGTAATAAAATGTCAAATCCTGCATTTCTATGCTAATATGTCAAATTCATCTCTTCCTGTTTACATGTACTTTTCCTGCAACTGCCTAATTCACTGATCCCTCGGAGACTCCACACTTGGCTCCTCTCCAGCCCCAGACCTTAACAATAATTAACTGTGCGTGTGTTTAGGTGGAATGCAAGATTACAACTACATCTGGGCCCAGTGTTTTGAAATTACATTGGAGCTGTCCTGCTGTAAATACCCTCGTGAGGAGAAGCTTCCACTCTTCTGGAATGACAACAAAGCCTCATTAATTGAATACATAAAACAGGTGCACATAGGTTTGTACCATTTTCTTACTAATGTCCTGTTAACACAAAACATAGCGTCTAGCAAAACCTGGGGGTTGGAAGTCCCAAGCCCCCATATCTGCCTGTTCTTCGTCAGGATGTAAACTGGTCCCGACTCTCTTTTCTATCTGTTTGGATCTTCTTGTCTTTTTTGCAAGTGTTTCAAGTTAAGCATATAGAAATAAACTACATCTTCTGGCAAAACAATTACTCCCCTCTAACTGAAAGGCTCGGTGATGCCTTGACAGAGCATTGTGAAAACACCTTAGATCTGAAGAAAGCCTTCGTTTGACCGGCAGTGTGGGGTTTTTCTTGGAAGAGAAATTTCATCGTTAAGCATGGTCTGTGCTTGCTCAGTTACAGAGTGACTTTCAGACACACCAGGCCTCCGTATTCTTGTAAAATCGTGTTTGGGCTGGGGTGAAAGTCATGGAAATGAATCTTGGGTGTGGGGAGGGTGGTGAGAGTCAAAGTGGAATAGGAAAGCTAAAGACATTGCCTTCAAATTCAAATGGTCCCTCTTGTACCTGTATTTGAAGAGAGGCAGACTATAGGTTAATTGACTCTTGGTTCAGTTGGGACACATACTCATATATGGGTGTTGTGTTGGTTCAGAAACACTTTACATGTGACTGACACAAGAGGTGAGTGAGTACTAGTCAAGAATATGGAGCAAAGTCTACAAAAAGGAATTGACTACCCATTTTTCAGGCACTGTGACTTTTTTCCCCTGGATGTTTTTAGCAGAACATTCTTTACCAAGGAGTCCTGGTGGTACAATACGTCAGCACTTGGATGATAACGGAAAGGTTGTTGCCTTAAACCCACCAGCTGTTCTTTGGAACAAAAATGAAGCCATTTGTTTCCATAAAGATTCACAGCTTTGGAAACTCTTGGGCCGTTCTACTCTTTCCTATAGTGATTGTGAGTTGGATTTGACTCTCAGTGGGTCTTGGTTTTACTGTTTACTAGCATCTTATGGCTCTATTATAAGATGTTACAGGATAGGATAAAGTCTGTTTCAAAGACAGTTTTATTTTATTTTTAATGAGTGTGGGTATTGCTTGATTTGGGGTGGAGTTGGGGTGTGGGGGTAAACAACTCACTGTCATCAAGTTTATTCCAACTCATAGTGACCCTACACGACAGAGTAGAACTGCCCCATGGGTTTCCACGACTGTAACTCTTTACCGGAGTATAAACCCTCATCTCTCTGCCATGGAGCAGCTAGTTTCAAACTGTTGACCTTGAAGTGAGCAGCCCAACGTGTAACCCAGCAGGGCTCCTTTTGGAGGAAGTCAATGCAAAACACAGAAGCCAATAGACACATTGCCACCAGCAAGAGAAAATGCATGGCTTTTCTAAGCAGTAGGAAGACTGTGCTGGCTGAGAGGCCTGAAGAAGGAAGAAAGGCATACGAAAGAAGACAGTCAAATATATGAAAAGATACTCAGTATTATTAGCCATCGTAGAGATTCACATTAGACCCACTAGGATGACAAACATTTAAAAATAATAATAACAAGTGCTGGAGACAATATGGGGAAATTAGAACACTGACCCATGTTGATGGGAATGCTGTATGATATAGTGACTGTTGAAAAACTGTGGTGATTCCAAAAATACCCTAAATATAGAACCGCCGTCTGACCCCAGCTACACTCCCAGGCATACACCAAAGACGTGAAAGCAAGATAGGCACACCAGTGTTTGCTGTAGCGCTGTTCACATTCGGTGGAAACAACCTAAATGTTATTTATCAAAGACGAGTAGATAAACAAAATATGGTCTATACAGACCATGAAGTACGACTTCAAAAAAGGAAAAAGAAATACGACTTCACCGGTGGGAGAAATGATGTCTTGATATGTACTACATTATGGCTGGTTCGAAGACATTACGCTGAGCGAAATGAGTCCATCACAAAAGGACACATATTCTATGACCTCACTTATATAAAACGACAAGAAAAGTCTAATGCATGGAGACCAACGTTTATTACAGGTTACCAGGGGCAAGAGGGCTAACGGTTATGAAAAACCTGTACTGATTCAGGGTAGGGTTGTACAGCTGCTGATTATTGTAATTGCTGGTTGTTGTCAATAAATTGAACACTTGTAAAAAGTTAAGTTGGCAAACATCAAATGCAAGATGTATTGACAACAACAATAGCACACAAAAAAAACCCAAAAAGAGTACCTGCTGAGGCCGGTGATCTATAAGCAAATATGTCACCGAATTTAGTTCCTTGGCTTGGAGACTTAGGCTCCTGATCCAATAATGTGTAGAGTTCATTGCATGATGCCGGGGGCTTAAGGCTTCCTCGCCGTCTCCATTTGCTGCTTCGGATAGCAGAGGAAAAAGGAGCCCGGAAGAGGATGAAGACGCGGCATGAGTGGCTTGCCGCCTCTCGGCCCTGAGACCCACAAGAACTGGATGGTGCCCCGCTACCGTCTCTGAACATTCTGATTCCAGATTCCACAGGAGCGACTTAATCAAAAGAGGGAAAATACAGAACCAAATTTCCAAAATCATGGACTCTCAACTGTCTGGAGCCACGGAGAGTAGATGAACCCCTGACACTGAGATAACTTTAAACCAAAAATATCCCTTAAAACCAAACAGTAGTTTAACTAGGGGAAAAAAATTGTCTACCATGAGCATTATGTTCTTTTAAGAACTGTCTATTCGGGACCAAAGTGACAGCAGCCCCTTGAGCGATTGTGTAAGAAGATTGACGAGGGAGGAACAACCAAAAGTAAGAGTGCCGGCAGCACATCTTGGAGACGGCCTCAGTGTCCCTAAACTGTACCTGCGGAAGCCATCGTTGAACTGGTGTCTGTCTTACGGTGCATACTCTCAACCACAAAGTAAATGCAATTTAGAGAAAAATTAAACTGAGGACAAAGATTACTTTCCTTCCCTAATATGTTCGTAATTAAAAGTTGCTGAAAAAACATTAATTACAATTTTTTCCATAGACTGTATAACATTTGTATTTTGTTTAATCGTATTTTTGTCTTCCAGGTGTAAAGGGTCAAGTTTTTGATCACAACAGAAACCCCTTACCCAATGTGATTGTGGAAGTCCAAGATAGGACTCATATCTGCCCCTATAGAACCAACAGATTTGGAGAGTATTATCTACTTCTTTTACCTGGGTCTTATGTGATAAATGTAAGTCACAATCCTGGTTGTTATTAGAATATCATAAAGCTCATAACACTCATAGATCTGAGAAGTTCACAGGGAAATACTTCAGCCCCAAAGAAAAGGTCGATGGAAAATGGGAGGGATAAGTTCCAGAAATATGCATGGTTTTTCCTGATTTTTTTTTAAAGTAGAAGCTAAATCCTATTTATTGTGCTACTTTAAAATACATCTAAGTATTTTAATAAGGGCGCCCTGGTGGCTTACTGCTAACAGGTCCTGAGTTTGAAGCCACCTGAGTGAGTGGTCCTGCGTTCACAACCACCAGCCACTCCAGCAGAGAAAGACAAGGCTTTCTAAGTCCTGTAAAGAGTTACAGTCTGGGGAAAGAAGTGTGATAGCAAAAGCACTTCCAGCTTCGTGGAACAGCGTTACGACTCCTGCTCGTTGAACGTAATTTATGCTATGTTTTCAAAATGGATGGGGACCCATTTCTTAGAATTTGTTATAAGTGAAATGTGATCCACAAAGTTTACCAGTAGATTACGGAAGCCATAAAACATAGGTGCAACCCTCTCGTTAGCAAGTCATGATAATTCTCCAAGGCGGGCAAGGAGCATTCCAAGATACTTGTTTCTAAAACATTTCTTTCCAGAAGAAAGGAGCAGAAGCCAATGTGAGCCTGAGTAGATTTCTGTGAATGAACGCCATGGAAAAAGTAGCTGATTTCACTGGGCAGATGATGCTCCTTTTTTTTTTTATTTTTTTTTATTTTTAAAAATCAATTTATTGGGGCTCATACAGTTCATCACAATACATAGATCACTTGTGTAATGCACATCTATACATTTATTGCCCTCATTATTCCCAAAATTTGCTTTCCTCTTGGGTTCCCGGAATCACCTCATTTTCCTTTTTTCCCCTCCCCCTCCCTTCCCCCTCCCCCCCCCCCCATGCACCCTTGATAATTTATAAATTATTATTATATCTTATATTACACTGCCCGGCGTCTCCCTTCACCTACCCCTCTGCTGCCCGTCCCCCAGAGAGGAGGTTATATGTAGCTCCTTATGATCAATTCCCCCTTTCTACACCCCCCTTCCCTCCTGGTATCACCACTGTCACCCCTGGTCCTGAGGGGTTCATCTGTCCTAGATTCCCTGTGTTTCCAATTCCCATCTGTACCGCTGTGCATCCTCTGGTCTAACCAGGTCTGCAAGGCAGAATTGGGGTCCTGGTAGTTGGGGGGAGGAAGCATTTAAGAAACAGAGGAAGGTTGTGGGCTTCATTATTGCTATACTGAACCCTAAGCCCGGCTATCGAGACCTATAGCATCTGGGGACTTAAAGGCTTGAAAGTAAACAAGCGGCCATCTAGCCCAGAAGCAACAAAGTCCACATGGAAGCAGCACACCAACATGTGTGATCATGAAGGGCCAAAGGGACCAGGCTTCAAACACCAAAGGTGGGGGGGGGAATCATATCCTCGTCAATGAGGGTGGCGTGTGATGGGGACCCAATGCCCATCTCTAGACAACTGGACATAGCTTGCAGAGGGGTAGTGGGGAGATGAGTCACTTAGGGTTCAGTATAGCAATAATGAAGCTCCTTTCTTTCTTATAGAACTTTTTTGCTTAAAAAAATAAATCAAGATTCCCTACTTCGGTGGGTGGGTCTGAGGGCAGCCGTGGCGTCCTTTGGCTTGCAGGGTTACTCCTGAGAGAAATGTCACTGCCCCTGCACTACAAACTGGCTCTAGACACGATTTCGAAAGCCCTGCAAGACCCATTGGCTCCCTGTGCAAGGCCACCCCAGCCATGGGCACGGCTAAGCCCCCTCCTGGGAAGCCTCCCGCTGCTTCGGAAATGGCATTTCTGGGGCACTCGGATGATCTGCACCCAGAGGGACCCCTTCTTTGCCTGCTGACACTCCCTTCTTTGCATACCTAATTTATTAGCATTATTAAAAGGAGAACTGGATTGTCCCATAGGATCAGAGAGCAGACGTTCGCGTTTCCTGTTGGCTGGGTCTTGCTCCCTGGAGGGCTGTGGGGAGAGCCTTCCTCAGCACGGCCATGGCGTGTTACTGGAAGGAGCCCCAGGCAGCACTGGGTTTTTACTTGCTTCTAGGCCGCCAGTTCCTACCTCTTTTTTTAAAAAATGATTTCTTTTGTTGTCAAAATCTATCCCTGACTTTGATTTTGTATGTCCTGTGGGTGGGAACTCTGAATGGATTTGGAACTTGGGAATATGTTTAAGGAAGTGCAGAATCATCTCAGGGCTATTTCCACCATGAACCTCCCCTGAGAGGGCGAGCGCATGCGGACACCCACAGAGACCCAGCATGATTGGCCAATTGTAATACATACTAAGTTTCATGGTTTGAAGAGAGACCTTTTTTATCTTTTAAGACTGTAGGATACTTATTTCTGCCCCTGCACACACACTCTTTCCCCTTTAAAACAGGATCCCTATCTAAAACATTCGTATAATACTCTTTGCCACCAAGTTGATTCCGACTCATAGTGATCCTATAGAACTGCCCTTGTGGGCTTCCAAGACTGTAACTCTTTATGGGGGTAGAAAAGCTTCATCTTTTTCCCTCAGAGCAGCTGGTGGTTTTGAACCGCTGACCCTGTAACCACCATGCCACTAGTTCTACTATAATGTCTTTTCCTTGTCCCAAAACCCAGCAACTGCCATGGACTTGATTCTGACTCAGATGGTTTCCATGGTTTTGCAAATCTTTACCAAAGCGAGGGACTCATCCTTCTGGGGAGCAGCTTGCGGGTTGAATCCAGCAGCCTTGCTGGGAAGCGGCCCAGTGCTGACCCCACCTTGTCACCTGGATGCCTTTCTGTTTGTTTCCTGTAGTGAAACGCAAAGCATTTGTATGCAATCCCATAACGAACCCCTTACGGAACAAAGTTATGAGCCACACATTCCCCTTTACCTAGGTAGCAGGCACATAAGCTCTAGCTATTATCTCCAGGATGAGAAGGGAAGGAAGACTCTGGACGCCAAAATGAATGGCGAAAATGACCGACGGGGTAGTTCCATCAGCACAACTCCGCACTCCTTTCCCTCTTCATGCATATCTAAAGGTCGTTCTCCGTGGACGTGACCTAGAGTCGATGTAGCCTTGGTCTGGCTTTTCCTGATTATTTTCTCCACCCCAGCCCACTCCCCCAAAACATCTAGATGGAAAAAAACAGATTTAAAACAAGCAATCTAGCCGGCAGTTCAGAGCAGGTAAAATCAACGCTTCAGGAGGCTATCGACGTAGACGCTTTGGTAATCCCGAGGCAGAGTGAACAGAGACAGAGTTGCACATATCCAGCATCGTGGTGACCATCTGGACCTCAGACGTAAGGACGGCGTGAAAGGCAGCTCTCCACCTGGGCCCCAGGTCGATGACCGAGGGTAGCAGGAGCCGGCTGGCTCCGGACTCCCATCACCAGATAAGGGACTCGCCTTTCTCCCATGCTGGAACTCTCGGCAGGGCAGAGCAGCAGCATCCCTTGCTGTGGGAGCGGAGAGCGCACCGGGTGAAAGGGGCCGGCTCGGTGACAGCCTGGGCCTGCCCGGCGGTGCATGTGGTTCACAAAGGAGCATTTTGTGGAGGCTCTGGGTGTTTTCCGTGTTGGTACCCCGACCTCTGAAATCACTCGCGTAATTGTTTCTTGTTTCCTCTCAGGTTACCGCCCCTGGACACGAGCCCCACCTCACAAAGGTGACTATTCCAGAGAATTCCCAGAGCTCCAGTGCTCTGAAAAAGGATATTCTACTTCCAGACGGAGGGCATTTGGACCATGTCCCGGTAGTCAGTCTCTCCTGCCCTATGGCTCCTCTCTACCGAAATCTGCCAAGCCGGTCAGCAGCCACAAAGCCTAGCTTGTTCTTCTTCTTGGTGACTGTCTTGCACCTATTTCTCAAATAAAGCAACACGTGAAACGCGACCCACGGCACCACCTGGAAGCAGGGATGACTCGAGCCAGGTCGCGGCAACTCTAACCTCCTCGGCAGGACAAATTCTACCGACGGCCCCAAGGTGATGAGTGGTTGTTTCTACAATACGCAACGAGTGATGGTGACAGAAGGAATGATGTGGCCTTGGTGCTGAAGGGAAGATGCTTACCTGCCAGGGACTGCCCACTTACAGTGGAATTCAAAGATCGTCAAAAGTAAAATGTGGGAAGCAAAAAGACAAATACTCATTAAAGGGGGGGGCCTTGTTTTCTTTGGCCCTCTCCCCTGGGACCCGGCTCCTGCGCCTGCTCAGCCATGTCTCGGTCTTCCTGGCCTCAGGTCACCACGTGAGGGTGAGCAGTCCCACAAGGTTGCCCGTGTTCAGTGGTGAGCCCTAGTGTGGCTTACGTGTGGTTTGGCACCCTTTCCTGAAATAGAGTGTACTCTGTTGAGACAGTAAAACCTGAAACTTCTTCTGTCCTTTATAAAAATCCATTTGAATCACACACAAGAAAGAAAGAAAGAGAGAGAGATAAGAAAGGGCCAGAGAACCAGATGACAATAAGCAATAAAGATGACCACTGGTGTGTCACTTAGTATACACAAAACCTTGCAGAAGGCTGTGTATGGAGAGGAAGTATGTGCCATCTCTGTAATCAGTTGTCAGTGTACTTCAGACTTGTAGAGGGGGGCATACTTTCATTTTGCAAACCGTCTAAGGAAATGTGGGAGACATTGGGCACCCATATCTTAGTTGTCCAAGAAGCTATGGGTCTGGTGGGATGACAGGGTCGTAGCTGTAGTGGTAGGGCAGCACATCATCAGGCCCCTGCAATGAGTCTCTCTCCCACCAGCAGCAGTTGTCTTGCCCTCTGTTGGGGTGACGACTTCCAACGTGTAACTCTGGGCTCCCCTCAACTTGTCAGCCTCACATCTGCCTGTCCTCGGGCCATCCACCGGGATACCAACCACGTGGTCATTAGTGGTCACTGATCGACTCTTGGCAACCCCATACACATGAGATCTGACAGTTTCATAATCCATCGCGTTCTCCTTGGCCGAGTTTCCGAAGTCGATTGCCAGTCCTTTCTTCCTAGTCTGCCTTACTCTGGAAGCTGTGCTAAAATCTGTTCTACAACACAGCAACACGCAGGCCTCCACTCACAGCCAGGTGGTGGCTGCCCCTAAGGGGTATTGGTCATGAATCAAATCTGAATCTCACATGGGAGTCAAGAATTCCACCAGTGAGCCAACACTGCCCCATGGGTACCTCAACGCTCATGGTAGCAATGGGACCCACCTCTCTCAAGAACTACCCTTCCCCTACAGTCTCTGTCTCAATCAGTGTTGCCACCAAGCTGGAAACCAGCCCTGAGGCTTCTTCCTTCCTCACCCCATCGTGAGTCCAGTCAGTCATTGAAGGCTGATGGTAATTCTAAACAGACGGACTCAAGCCTTTTCCTCTGTGGCGGTTAGAACTACCACCTGTAGGCCATCACATCTCACCTGCACCACTGTAGCAGCCTTACTGATTGGCCTCTTGTTCCTGCACTTACCTGCTTCACAGCATGGGGGAGAGAGGCCCATTGAACCCGGAAAATGGCAATCAATCAGCTCGTTTAGTCCTTGCCCACAGAGCCCCCTCTGGAATGCCACCCCGACTGCTACAGTTGTTCCCCATTCCTTCTTTAAAACTCAGCGCAGGTATCACCGCCTCCAGGAAGCCTTTGCTGAAGCCATTCCATTGCACCCAATAACTCAGTAACTCTGGGCTACGGCCCTTCCTCTGTGCTCCCCCAAATAAGCCTTTATTTCTATAGTTAAATGGATGACACTCTTATTGCTCTTACTGATGACACTTTTATTTCTATAGTTAAATTGATGACAGCTGCTCCCAACTGTGCCTCCCTGGAGTAGAACATGAGCTCTCTGAGACCAGGGGCTGTTTAATGTTTGACATGAACATTCATTTTTATATTCTCAAAACCTCACACATATTGACATCCCCAGAGTCAAGCCTTGCACGTAATGAGTGAGTGGACGGATACACATTTCCAACAACCCGCTACTCCCAGTCCCTCCCAGAAATGGCATAGAACTGAGAGTCAGTCCACACCCTAGGTTCCCTGCTGTGCCAAGCTCCCGTGCACGAGTAACCAACCCTCCGGAGGGTTTTCATATTTGCACCCAGAGGACAGTGCTTTCACTGCACTCTGCATTCAGCCTAAGGGTCACAGTGAAGCTCTCCTAGGACCTGTGCAAAGCACATAAGGCTGGGTTATTTTAATTGGAACACAAAAATTTGCCATTGGGACTCAAAGCAGCAGCTCTCTACTATAACCTACCCTAAAACATCATTCATAGGAAAAACGTCTGTAAGTGGAGGAAGCATCAGACGACAATAGAGAACTCTGGTCAGCAGATATCGAAGTGCAGGCATCACTAATGGCAAGTGAGTCTTCAGTTCTTATTGTCAGTGGAAAGTTCACTGGGATCTGCAAACACTCATTCTGGACTCAAGAAACACCAAGGAATGGGGGGGGGGGCGGGTAAACGGGCAGAAGTCACGCTGGTGCCAAGCTTATTCCACATTGCCATTAAAATTTGTAGTCTTTTTTGAAGACAAACTTCCTTTTTGTAAAACCAGGTAACAACATGCGTATTGTGGCCCCTCTTGTCTAACTACTCAGTGATGGATTGTGTACCTGGAAGCGTGTGTTAATATATTGTAGAAAACTCTTGCCGCTGGACACCCCAAGTTCTCACTTTAACTTTTCTAAGAATCTTGAATGGGTTCAGGAGCCCAATTCCTTTTCTTAACTGAAGGTGTGTTTTATCAGCGTCACCTGTAAAGTCACTTAAAGAGAAACCAAGTGATTAAAAGAACCCTTACACCGAGCCACACCTGAGTCATTGAGCGCAGGTGTAGGTACAAGCGCTTGCAGCTGCCTGTGGGCTGGGTGCTGCCAAGCGAAGTTCATGGGGTAGGAGTGGGGGTGATGACAATCTCATGTCTCCGCCCACCACTCATCACAGTGGGGGTCAAAGAGGAGGAACAGCCCTGGAATTCCGAGTACAGTCGGACCAGGTTCCCAAACCTCCCTGTGAGTTCCTCGGCCTACTTCTCGCCCTCAAACTGGTGCTTATGTGCCTCGGGCTCTGATCGTTAAGTTCCTAGACTCTTGCTGAGAAACCAACTTGATGAGTGTTGTCATGACGGGAGACCTGCAGAGAGCAGGGGTGGAAGAGACGCGATGTGGACAGTGGAGGCCTGTGTTCGAGCCCTTCACAAATCCCATTTCCTCATCACCTCGTGGCTCCCACTGACCGTTCTGCTGGGACTCCTAGAAGCAGCCGTGTGAGGTGCCATTTTTGATGTTTGCCCCGGTGGCAAAACCATGACACTCAAGGATTTTTTATGAGTGGCAGTGTACAAAAATTTTTTTATGAAGACAGTAATACACAAGATTTTCAAAAAAGTGGAATGAAAAGATACTGGGATGGTCTTATATTCCACTTCATTAAAGTCCAAATCTGTTGCCTCCGATAGAAACAGACAGTCTGAAACTTTAGTTATCTGAAATGATGATTTATGATATCAAAGAAATTTTCATGAGACAACATAGCTTTTTCCCATGTTCCCACTCAAAGTATGAGAGAGGTTAACATCTTACCTGCCACTACGCCAGGTTGCCTTACAGCAATAAATTAAACACCTGCAGTGAGGTGTGACTCCTACCCCTAAACAATTGTCTGTCCTTTCACAGATTAATCTAAGTGGTAAATCTGCTGAGAAATGTCAACTGCAGGGTTGATTGTGGTGCTTAATTCATCATGTTCAGTCCTGAACTGTTACACGTATCAGAAACATTAAAATCCTCTCAACATTTCTGAAAGGCGTTCTAAGGAGTCAATGCTGCCTTTTGTTCCAGAAGCAGATGTGTTATCATTCTTTCTACAATGGTAGAAGAAGGGACCTCCCCCTTTAAAAATAAGATCGAATGCTAGATTGGAAATACCTTTCCTGGCTTGAGGGCTCCAGAGAAATGAACAAAGTATGTTGCCTTGTTGCAACAGGAAGCATTGCTTATGGAAAAGTTTGATGTTATTCTATACATTGACACTATAGTGGATATTTATTTTGTGACAAATCTCGTTTTTCTCATCACTTTCAAAGGGGAGTAGAGAAGAAATTATCAGACCGCTTAAATAGCACTGAAAATCCACAATATCTGAAATGGAGGCTCGGGGAGAAAAGTCCAATTTCATTTAGAGAAACTTAAGTGTATCACTACTAAGCAGATATTGTACTGTCCTGCTTAGACCATTAGATCACACTTCAGTGTGTGAACTACTCCACAGTCATACAGATGCTTTCTACCTGACTTTCTTTTGTACCATTATTAAGAACTTATTAAAATGCATAAATTGTTAAAGATGGCAAAGTTTATATTGGGTAGGGGACATAACTACCTCTGATTTTAGTAAGTCTACAATATTATCAATAAAGATTAATATTCATATAAACAACATGCTGTTTTGTTTGTTTTTTTTCTAATTCCATTACCTTTGTATGTATGTATGTGTGTGGAGGGAAGGTGGAATGGAAAGGGGGGAACCGATTACAAGGATCTACATATAACTTCCTCCCTGGGGACGGACAACAGAAAAGTGGGTGAAGGGAGATATCGGACAGTGTAAGATATGACAAGATAATAATAATTTATAAATTAGCAAGGGTTCATGAAGGAGGGAGGGAAATGAGCTGATACCACGGGCTCAAGTAGAAAGCAAATGTTTTGAGAATGATGATGGCAGCAGGTGTGCGCATGTGCTTGACACAATGGATGGATAGACAGATTGTGATAAGAGTTGTACGAGCCCCCAATAAAATGATTTTTTAAATGTATGTATGTGTAACAAAGGTGTGCCCTAGAGAGACTGATCACCATCCAGTAAAACCAGGGGAAGGAAGACCAAGTGAATGATCATCATGAGGAGCCCAAGCGGCTCAGCGCTTGGCTGCTAGCTGACAGGTCGGCAGTTCTGAATCATGCACCATGCTCAGCGACTCTCCTGTGTCACGTGTGGTTTCTACGTGTCACGATGGCTCCACGCAGTGAGTCTAGAGGGGCTTTTTGGTAATTTGGGGTGGGGAGCAGTGTTGCTTTGCCTTTAGTGTAGTTGAAAAGTGCTCAGTGGTCAAATATATTTTTTTTAAATTCACAACTCACATTAAATAAAGACTCTTGGAACATGACCCTGATACCCAAATAAGACAAAGGCACCGCAAGAAAAGTACAGGCCAAAACCTCATATAAGCATAGATGCAAAGATCATTAACAAAATAGTAGCAAGTAGAAGCCAACACATTAAAGTAGAATCCAGCATATCAAATGATTCATGTGCCATAACCACATGAGATTTAGTCTAGGAATGCAGGGATGGTTAGACTTAGAAAACCCATCAATGTCATATACCATAGCAATAGAACAAAGGAAAAGAATGACACTATATCCATTTCTGTAGATACGGGAAGACCCCTGGTGGTGTAGTGAGTTATGCTTGGGACTGCTAACCATAAGGTTAGCAGTTCAAAACCAACAGCCATTCAGTGGGAGAAAGATGAGGCTTTCTACTCCCATAAAATATTGCAGTCTCAGAAACCCATGGGGCAGTTCTCCCCTGTCCCACAGGGTCACTGAGTCAGAGTGGACTTGACGGCAGTGAGGGCACATGCGGGAAAGCATCTGATAAAACCCATCCAGCTTTCTTGACGAGAACCCGGAGGAAGATTGACTGAAGAGAGAAATGTCTCAATACGCTGCAGAGCATATATGAAAAGCCAACATACGCTCCACGGTGAGGGACTTGGAGCCCTTCTCATAATGGCCAAAAGAAGACAAATGTGTCCACTGCTGTCCACCCCACATTGTATTAGAAGTTCTATCCAGAGCTAGAGGACAATAAAAAGAAAATAAATCCAACGATCTATTTGCAGAAGATAGGATTATGTCTCTAGGAAATCTCAGTCTACAGGAAAACTAGAACTAATGAAAGTATTTAGCAAACTCGGAGGGCCCAAGGTCAACAAACAGAAGTCAGGTTTCTATACCCCAGCAATGAGAAATGGGAATGGGAAATAATTTCATCCACAACTGCAACTAAGGATACAGTAGAAAGAAATCTATTCAGGGAAATGAAGGGCTTATATGACTGCCATGAAAACGCAGCACTACTGAAAGAGATTAAACAGAAAGTGGTCCCATGTTCAGAAATTAGACCACAAGGATGTAAAGGTGTCAGTATTATTCAAAGCGAGCTGTAGATTCCGTGAGCTCCAGGTGCAGTCCCAACAGCATCCTTACAGAAACAGAAAAACCAGTGCTCAGTTTTATATGGATTGGCAAGGGCCTCAAAAGTTAAAACTGTTGAAAGAACAAAGGAAGACATGGGTTTTGAACATGTTATCAAGAGAGCCCCGTCGCTGGAGAGGGACAGGCTTCATAAAGTAGAGGATCAGCAAAAAGGAGACCCTCGGTGAGGCATGTTGGCACAGTGGCTGTCCCGAGGCGCTCAAGCTGCAGAGATTGTGAGGATGGCGCAGGCTTGGGCAGGGATCACACCATGGCTAGGAACCAACTCGGCAGTCACAGTGGCAATACAGCTACAGCGACCAAAAATGCCCGGGACACAAGACAGACCAACGGAATAGAATTGAGCACAGAAATAAACCCACACCTCTGGATAACTGATATTTTGGCAAGGATACTAAGCCCATTTAATGGGGAAAAGAAGAGTCCCTTTAATAAATGGGATCTTCACTTCCAGAAAAATGATCTATGCTTCATCCCATACACAAAAACAACAGAAAAAAATTCAAAATAGGTTAAGGACCTGGATGTGCAAACGACAACTGTAAAACTCTTAGAAGAAAAGGCCAAGACAATGCTGTCAGGCTTAGCTTGCAACACTGGATTATCTAATACAATAACAAAAGTAAAAATCGCAAAAGACAAATTAATATAGACTTTCTTTCTTTTTTTCTTAACTTTTATTCATCAAAAGAATTTACCCCCAAAAAAGTGAAAAGACATGCTACCAACTGGGACAATATCTCAGGAAACCACATATCCAACACAAATCTAATAAAATATATATTAATGAACCTGAAATACAGAAAAAAATAAAAGCAATTAAGAGATAACAGAATTTTTCCATGAACTTTTTGAAACCCCTCTCATATAAAACGTTGACAAGTGAACAACAAAAAGAGCACCAGTCTAAAAATGAGCAGAGGACTAAGACCAACGGGACCGAAGAGAACAGTCAAGGACTATGAAACACTTGAGAGGTTGCCAGCACTGTAGCCCTCAGACAGGTGCAAACCAAAGCCACAGTGAGATGCCTTTACACTCCCAATAGGTGGCTAAGGTTAAACAGAAGAAAAGGACAAACGTTGGCAAGGCTGTGGGTAAATTGGGACCCTTAGCCATTGCTGCTGGGACTGCAGAGTGATACAGCCGCTGTGGAAAACA